TATGGAGACCTATAGAAGTCTCCTCTACGTGCATGCTCCTGTCTTGCACTACATTCCAAGGGCTGCACACACATGCAGCACAAGGCTTCTGATGAAGGTTCAGTGAGCACTCAGTGCTCAATCAGCTCTGGAAAGGATTACTTCCACAGTGGAGTAAACATTGTAGCCAGATTTGTCTATGCTACTTGAGTAATCTAGCGTGGGTTGTTGGTGAAGGTTGGTTCAGAAGAGGTGGGAAATTGTTTAGAATACATTATTATAAAGGTACAGTTGTCCTTAAAGTTTTCAATAATCCTCTGCACAGCAGCCTTTAGAAAGAAGAGGGGGAGGGGGGAGTAATACTTTAAGGCAGTTAGAATATACCTACAGGAGTGGAGAGCACAGGGATAACCTCATTAATCTACTGCTGATGTCTGATTGTCCCGAGAGATAGATGAGTATGGGGGGGGGGGGGCTTTTCAAAGGCATTGTCACTTTGCTCTGAAGTGGCATTGATGACAATTGTCTCTATATCACCTTTATGTAAACTACTGCACTGCAGCACTGAGAGTGAGAGAGTGAGGGGTAGCATATTGTTTGGATGAAGACTTTATCTCACTACTCTCAGTTTACCAATAGAAATAGGGTTATACAAGGCTAGAAGACCGGGATAGTCTTGTCAGTGTGCTGCTGCTTCATCATTTTCCAATTAAAAAACAGGCACAGGTCCTTGACAATAATGTATTGCTCAACTGCAGTGTAGTCTGCAGAGAGTGGGGACTGTGATGTCTGGTAGGGGTTCTTGATTAACAAAATATGTAAATCAAGGGTGTAAGCAGCAGGCTTCCCCACTGCTCCATCTAGTGACCAGCAGGGATAAGAAAAACCCAGTATTTCTGGATATTAGAGCAGGTATCTTATTGCACCCAGGTGACAGTGCTTGTGCTTCGTAATGTACTGCTCAGGGAGTACAAATGTGACAGTATTTAGTTCTCACATTAATTTTGCTGAAAACATTTAAAATTAAGTGTGCTGAAAATTGTTTTTACATAGATAGATTTGCTGTACACAAATAATATTTAACACAGATGCTTTAAATGACAGACATGTTATTAGCATAATGGTTTTACTTTATTGAGCATTTAATTGTTGAAATTAAAGTTCAGTAATTTACAGTATTATTCTGATTAGTGAAGTCCTGTCAACTGTGTGAGAATATCATGACACTGTGCAGTCATGCAGAAGTGCTTACACATACAGTGACATGGTACTAAGCATTGTTTAAGGCTAGTCCCAGCTGAGCAGCATCTTATCCAACCAGAAACATTCCTACGAACCAGCTCTTTTTAAGTGATCATCCTTGTATCATAACAGATTAAGGTTGCAGCTACTTTGGATTATATTTAATCTAACCTTTATCCATTCACATCTTCACCTGAAACTTACAAGGACCAAGAGTCAATTGCAAGGGAATAATTCACAATGACACTGATCTTCCCTTCCTCGCTCTAATTATCTGGATTAAGAATAACACTTTGAGTAATTATTTTCACATTGGATAAACATTAAGCTTTCCTGGATTTATCTGAGCTCTTTCTCTAACATGAAATAGATCCAACTAGGCTTATAAGAACATAACTGACAGCATTGACTGCTTAATCATGAAGACTAAAACAATAGGAAAATATTTGTTTCACTGCTCTGTGAATTATTTACAATGATAAACTTTTTAACCTGTAAAAAAAAAATCAATCTTAATTGCTTTATGGTATATCTACTATTTTTTTCTATCAGTGACAACTTTTTATGTTGTTAATGTAAATCTTTTCTTCAAACGGTATTTAAGAAAATGATAAAACAGTTGCAAGCTGCCTGAACATTTCAGCATTAGAGTTTAAACAATGATAAACTCACAAACACTTATTATGAGCTCTTACATGTGGTTATCTTCTTATATTGTTACTATACTATGCTATGCTATACTATACTATACTACCAGGGGTGGACTGACCATTTGGAAACTCGGGCACCGCCCGAGGGTTCAGGGTCAGTAGGGGGCCCCATGAGATGACCCTGGTACCTTTTTCATAGGCTTTTTTGAATTTGGACAAGGACACAGGGGCCCCATGATCCCCTATTGCCCGGGGGCCCCATGAGTTGTCATTCCGCCCCTGTATACTACACTGTACTATATTACACTATATGTGCATGGATTATTTTTAAAATGTGATGCTAAATTCAGTGGGGTTGAATTACCAAAGGTAAATAGACTGTTCACTTTGCTAGTGAACAGTCTATTTTGCACTCATTTTCCCCAAAGCTTAGTGAATACGGCAAAGCTCTTACGATTTCCATCATCTAATCATGTGCTAGTAAAAAATGCAGTTTGGATGTTCTTTACAAAGCACAGTTTCACCACATTCACTAAGCTCTGGGGAAATTGAGTGCAACTGCACTAGCAAAGTGCTCAGTATTTTTGCCTTTGATAAATCATCCCCAGTGTGTGTCACCATTTTGAACAATCTATATGATCTGGACTCAAGGGTTAATTTACTAAAGGCAAATAGACCGTGTACTTGGTAAGTGCAGTTACTCCAGAGTTTAGTAAATGAGGTAAAGGTTAAATTTGCAAAGAATACCCAATCTCATGCAAGGAAAAATAACAGCATTTTTGATTGGATGATGTAAGTCAGCAGAGCTTCCTCTTATTTACTAAGCTCAGGAGCAACTGCATTTGTAGAGTGCACAGTCTATTTGCCTTTAGTAAAGCAACTCTGCAGTGCAGGGAGCTGTTGATATGCCTTTTCGACTAGGGCAGCAATGGGCAAACTACGGCCCGCGGGCCGTATACAGCCCGGCGGACCTTTTAATCCGGCCCGCGGAGCGTGATACTGTCAGGATGGCTGTCAGGATGTGTGTAGGCGGGGCAGCGTGACGAACGTGAGGGGAGCTAGGCTCCTCTCAAAGTCCGCCCTGAAGACTGGAACGGTGCGGGAACACGGCGAGAGGAACGCGCGGAGCAAAGGTAAGTGAATTGACACAGGGGGGACTTGGGGACTTAATATGGGGGATGAATTAATATGGGGAATGAATTACTATAGGGGGGGTGAATTATTATATGGGGGATGAATTACTATGGGGGATGAATTACTATATGGGGGATTAATTACTATGGGGGATGAATTACTATATGGGGGATGAATTACTATATGGGGGATGAATTACTATGGGGGATGAATTACTATGGGGGATGAATTACTATGGGGGATGAATTACTATATGGGGGATTAATTACTATGGGGGATGAATTACTATGGGGGATGAATTACTATATGGGGGATTAATTACTATGGCCCACCCCTGGACTAGGGTGTTTAAAATTAAAGCTGGGAGAAAGCTAGTAGAATTTCAACCAAAAATTTGTACGGACATTCTTAAGCAAATTCATTTGAAAATTCTCAGAACATATGAATGTCATTCAAAAATAGTTCAAGATTTCCTTTGCTTTTAACTGCTTACCTACCCCCCTATAGCCGATATACTGCTACAAGGCGGCTGCTCTGTGCAAAATCTCATAAATATACATGATTTAGTATTTTCAGGTAAGGTGGCACACACACGTTTCCATTGTTTACAGCGGATGTCAATTACCAGCTCCTGGCCGGCGATTCTTGGCTGGCACTCAGTGATCACCGCTAAAGCTGAGAGGGGAGAGATCTGTGTGTAAACAACACAGATCTCTCTCCTGTCAGCATGGACATGCTGCTTTCTCTCTCTCTGCACAGCACAGAGATAGAAAGCAGCATGTCTCCCTAGTAAAACAGCACACAGTGTAAGCACAACACACAGTTAATCCTTTGATTGCCCCAGATGTTAACCCCTTCCTGCCCAGTGTCATTAGTACAGTGGCAGTGCTTTTTATTAGCACTGATCACTGTATAAGTATCACTGAAGATGTCAGTGGCAGTTCCCACCCAGTGTCAGAATGCCTGCAGTATTCCCGCAGTCCTGCAGTCCCGCTATAAGTCACTGATGACTGCCATCACTACTATAAAAATTAATAAACATTCCAGTATACATCCGCCATTTGTAGACGCTATAACTTACACGTAAACCAATTAATTTACATGGATTGGAATTTATTTAGGAAAGACATGTCACAGAATACATTTTGGCCTAAATTTATGAAGAAATTTTTTTCTTTTTTTATTGAATATGTTTTATAGCAAAAAGTAAAAAAAAAAATTTTTTTTCAAAATTGAAGGTATTTTTTTGTTTATAGCGCAAAAAATAAAAAACGCAGAGATGATCAAATACCACCAAAAGAAAGCTTTATTTGTGGGAAAAAAGAAATTTAATTTATGTACAGTGTTGCATGACCGCGCAATTGCTAGTTAAAGTAACTCAGCACTGTATCGCAAAAAATGGCCTGGTCAGGAAGGGGATTAAATCCTCTGGAGGGCAAGTGGTTAACATGGTTTTGGAATTAATGGACTTTACCGAAGGAAAACGTGTTGATGGAGAGGGGCAGGGGAGGGCCAAAGAAGGATAATGTGCATGCACCCGATATCCTCCTTAACTGATGATGTCATTGGTTGTTAGATTGGTGGTAGCTAGAAGGTCATAAAAGTGCACAATGAAAACCTGTGGCTGATCCACCAGCTAGCTTGTATACATTTTTTCGGCATTTTGCCAAGGCACCCCTGAAGAAGCCTGAAGGCACCCCAGGGTGCCTGGGCAACCTGGTTGAGAAAGTCTGATCTAGCTTTACACTTAACCCCTTCCCGCCGGTGCCTCCCGGCCCTTTAAGACTTTCAGAAGCAGGGAGGCGGGATGAGTGGGGTTTAGGGATCATGTGACCGCCGTGAGTTCCAATCGAAAAAGAGCAGACTGGGACCTTTCCGTGAGTACTGGACATGTATGCTGGGAGCGCACAGGGTGCGTGCTGTCAGCACATATGTTTTTTGTTAATTGCACGCAAATGTGCGGCTGCTCGGGTCTAGGCCCAGATGCTGGGAGGGCAGGGGCGGACTGACCATTTGGAAACCCGGGCACTGCCCGAGGGCCCGGGTCAGTAGGGGGCCCCATGAGATGCCCCTGGTACCTTTTTCATAGGCTTTTTTGAGTTTGGGCAAGGACACAGGGGCCCCATGATCCCCTATTGCCCGAGGGCCCCATGAGTTGTCAGTCCACCCCTGCGGGAGGCCACACATTTGTGTGCTGCTGGCGTGAAGAGGTTAAAGAAATCTGTGCTTAGAGAAGTATACATGCTGCCATTGCTGCCCTTTTCTTTTGATAGTGCTAGTTGTTTGGGCATGCTAATCTAATGACTTTAGTCACTGACCTGGAACAAGTAAGCAGTTTATGTATTCTGATTTTATGTGCTTATTGCTTGTTCTTAGTTGGTTATTCAAACTGTTGATGCATAACAACCAGGTAAACAGACTTTTCATAGGGTATTCAGCAATAGCAGCTCTCACATTTCTCTCAACACAGGTTTCCACTAATTAAATTACTTCAGTGTAGGCATAGTCAGTTTTAGCAGGTAAATAGCAGCAGTTGTAAGTACAGTTTGTGACTTTAGGAAGAGATACTGAACTTATCAATTCACCTGGTGTACAGAATCTCAGAGATGCAATCTTCTGCACAGTTACCAAAAATAGTAAAAATAGTAGAGAGGCACACTTTTAAGGTATCAAGAAGAAAAATGCCAGTCAAACACTAGGAGCCATGGCTAATGAAGTGGGCATCACTTTCAGTGTGAGAGTAGAGTATGCCCCATCATTGATGTCTTTAACAGTAGTAATAACTCAATGCATTAGTGATTAGTGTCATTGGCAGCAATAATAAGCCCTGGCACTGATGTAAGTGACCCCAATATTCTCCCCTTCATTGGTTCAGTGGTAGTATCATTAATCACCTTGCATTGGTGGGCAATGTCAGACTGTAAAAAAAAAACCCCACCTGCAATAGTGGTCAGTGGCAGGCTGTAAAAATAACCATTCCCCCGGCATTTGAGGACAGAGGCTGGCTATAACAATAACCCCCCACCACACTGGAGGCATTGGTTAACTGGAACAATAAACCTCCCAGCAATAGTGGCCAGTGGCTAGCTGGAACACTAATATAAGACCCCCTTAGTATTAGTGTTCAGTGTTAACTTACATAAACACATGGTCCTATGTTAAGCTAATTTATCCAGTCATGCCCAGGGCTATAGTTTTACAGTTGGGCAGAAATCACCACCTGACAGTTCCAGCATCTTTTAGTGCCAGAGCTCACAGCTGTCACTCTGCATGACACCACCTTCCACACCGGGGCACTCTCTAAGTCATGGGTGTCAAACTGGCCGCCCTCCAGCTGTTGCCAAACTACAAGTCCCATGAGGCATTGCAAGATTGACAGTTAAAAGCATGACTCCCAAAGGCAGAGGCATGATGGGACTTGTAGTTTTGCAACAGCTGGAGGGCCACCAGTTTGACATCCCTGCTCTAAGTGGTAGTATCTTGTTTAGACTCCCTCCACTAATGCTTTACTGTGTTGTTGCTGATTCAGATGCTTTTCACTGCGCTGTATATACTGCAAAACATTGGTTTATCCAGTGGAAATTCTGTTTAGAGGGTTCAATAAATGCTGAAAGAAGTGGGAAGAAAGATTGTACTTGGCTGTTGTTCATGCACAGCCAAAGACACACAAAGTTGTAAAAGTAAAATTACACCCAAATCTTTTTTTTTCTTCTTTGAGTGCAGTGAGGCAGATTTGACCCTTGATGATTCTTTAGGGGGTCCAGAATGGTTGTGATTGCCATGATTCAACTGTTCAAGAGTCAGGAGTAGATTCTCCATAATTTCCCATGGAGTATCCACCAAAAGGGCAGTGATATAAAAATGCTGCAAACTTGCTTCTCTATGGGAATATGTGAATAATACACTCCAGAAAGTAGTAGAATTGATAGCTCATGTTGGCACCTAAGTGAATAGGAACAGCAATAACCATTCGTGGAGTGATCAACCCTTCATGCATTTTAATATGTGCACTGTGCTGAGTGTATTCTGGGAGCACGCTATATGCAGAAAAGGCAGGGACACAACTACAGATCGTGGGGCCCTATAGCAAACTTTTGAGTGACCTCTTCACTGTGATTGATCTAAACATAAAGTCTAAATCAAGGACAGGTAGCAGGTGAGCAGCCAGCATAGTCACTATATTACTATGGACCAGTGCTGTTGGTAGACATTGTTAGGGAAAAAGGAGGACATCAGTGCAGGGAATTATGTTCTCACATTCATGTTCCAGCTATTTACTCTGTCTTCAGTAGTCCACCGGTCTTTTTCAGTATTGCAGATCTCAGGCCCTTAGAGTAATTTTTAAAGGATAAGTTCAACTTTCATAACAAGTTACATGTAACATGTTATACCCATATTCAGAGTGTAACACGTAACATGTTTTTATCAGACCGGCCTCCATTCCCCTGCTTTGACAACTACCGGGTATCTTTTTCCTCCCCTGTAGCTGTCAAATAAATAAAAAGGCTCCGCTCACCTGGCCACGTCATTCATTCACTGTTTTCTGTGAATGAGAAAGTCCCGACAGCCTTAGCGGCTGTTGGCTTGTCATTCTCAATGAACTACAATGGCATTGTGGAGCGCCGTGGTAGTTCAATGAGTCTTCCTGTCTGTATATCTGCTTGCTTGTACATCACGTACAGGCAAGCAGATATTCTGACAGATCGGCAGTAGACCTGCATGGCACCGGTGATCTGCTGATCGCTGGTGCAATGGTTTACAGGCTCCTGCAACAAAAAATAATAAATGCACATTTTTTTTTTACCTGCAAAAAAGTGCATTTATTATTTTTTGTTGAAGAAGTGAATTAATACTTTAAGCCCTCCCGATCCTTCTGCCTCCACAGCAAGCAAGTGTTGAAAGAGGTAGTTTAATAGTCAGTAATAAAAGAAAGGAAAACAATAAGTTGTTGTAGCAATAATAATGACCATCACAATATAATATATGATGTCAATTGTTAGTACTCCAGCACACAATTACTCTTTAACCCTAATATAAATGCCATTAACTGCTTCCTCTCCGCACTATAGCAGAAATACTGCTACACGGCGACCGGGGTGCGCAAAATCACATAGGTATACATGATTTTGCATTTCCGGGCCATTCGCGGCCTCAGCTGTCAATCACCAGGTTCTGGCCGGTGATTACTTGTCAGCACTAGGTGATCGCCGAGTATCTCTGATGGGGGAGAGACCTGTGTATAAACAACACAGATCTCTCCCCTGTCAGCTCCTGCACACTGCTTTGTTTGGCTCTGCATAGCAGAGTCATACAAAGCATTGTGCTTACAGTGAAGCACACACACAGCCCAAGTACTGAAACAGCACACAGTTAACCCTTTGATTGCCCCACATGTTAACCCCTTCCTGCCCAGTGCCATTAGTACAGTGTCAGTGCTTTTTATTAGCACTGATCACTGTATTGGTGTCACTGCGGATGTCAGTGACACCAAGCAAGTTCCCCCCAGTGTCAGAATGACCGCTGCAGTTCCGCAGTCTTGCTATAAGTTGCTGATCCCTGCCATTACTAGTAAAAAAAAAAAAAATTCCTGTATATACAGTATATTGTCAATTGTAAACTCTATAACTTTCATGTAAACCTATTAATTTACACGTATTGGGATTTTTTTTTAGCAAAGACATGTAGTAGAATACATTTTGGCCTAAATTTATGATGGAATTTGATTTTTTTAATTTTTTTATTGAACATGTTTGATAGCAAAAAAATGAAAAATATAGTTATTTTCCCAAATTGTCTGACTTTTTTTTATAGCGCAAAAATTAAAAAACGCACAGGCGATCAAATACCACTGAAAGAAATCTCTATTTGTGGGGAAAAAAGGATGTAAATTTCATTTGGGTGCAGTTTTGCTTGACCACACAGTTGTCAGTTAAAATAAAGCAGCGCCGTAACACAAAAAATGGCCTGGTCAGGAAGGGGGGTAAATCCTCTGGAGGGCAAATGGTTAAACTGTGTGAGTTTTTTTTTTTATCAGAACTCTAGTTTTTAGTTGAGGAGGCAGTCTAGAATTTTACAGCGTGAGAAACACTAAGTTAGGCATACAGGGTTAATGATGACCAGAAGCTCTAAGGGCAATAAATCTACACTACTAAGATGTCCAAACAAATTCTCCTTACTGCACATCCTGCAAAGAGGATGTGATTAGTGACAACAAGGATTGTGAGGTCTTTTCCTTTCCATCTGACATCAGATCTTCTGGTTTGGAAATATCACATAAAGTACAGGGTCAGTGTGTAAACAGCAACCAATGCAATCCTTAATGATACAGTGAAGGATATGTGTTATCTTAACACGCACACAGATTTTCTATGTTTAAATGGCCTTAAAAGCCCCCTTAATAGGGCCCCCCTCCACTGATGCCCCATAGCAGCCACGAGGGCTACTATGGTTATTGTTATGCCACTTACAGTAGTATAGAGTTGCCAGCTCTCACCATGTGAAATACGCTTCTGCTAACCATTTCATCCGGTCAGTGTCAAACAGCTCTGAAACCAACCTTGATAAATGGAAATGGAAATGGAAAACGCCAACGCTATGGCTCAGTTCACACTACAGTGACTTGGGAACTGAGGTGTGAGACCCCAAATCACATGATGTGTGAAATTCCATGTTAGTCAATGAGAGCTGTCTTAATTAGCACTAATGAAGTCGCTCCGACTTCAGAAAAGGTTCCTGTACTACTTCCAGGTGACTTCTATCCAGGGGCGGACTGACAACTCATGGGGCCCCCGGGCAATAGGGGACCATGGGGCCCCTGTGTCCTTGCCAAAACTCAAAAAAGCCTATGAAAAAGGTACCAGGGGCATCTCATGGGGCCCCCTACTGACCCCGGGCCCTTGGGCAGTGCCCGAGTTTCCAAGTGGTCAGTCCGCCCCTGCTTCTATCACACCTGTGCTTATAGACTTTAACCTCCCTAACGGTATTCCCGAGTGTAGCTCGGGGTAAAATGTCTGTACCAAAAGCGGTAACCCCGAGCTACACTCGGGCTTACTATGCGGCGCTGCATAGGGAGTCCCTGCAGCACTTACCTTGTCCTTGGCTCCCACGATGTGTCCCCTGCAGCGTCCCCAGCCATCTCCTCCGGCAGATGCCGGCATCCGCCTCCTGTGTTCCGGTCCCTGTGACGTCGGGACGTATGGGCACCGCCGGCGGCGGGAAATT